TCTGGTAGGCTCTGATGTGCTCGAGCCTGCAGTACTGCTTGACTCTGTAGTGCTCGAACTTGTATACCTCGTCCCAGTCGTGCTGGTCGAGGTGGTACTCCTGCGTATGCCATGTCCAGTCCTGCTGGTCATCATAGTAACCAGCCGTGGTATTTCCAATGCCCTCAGTCATGTCGCCCCCGACGCTACAGTACAGGTAGGCGCTGATGTAGAGGAGTGGTTGTGATGTGGCGGTCGTTTGTTTGTTGGTTGAGTGTGGGTTGTGGGGCATGCTGGTTGGGTCGTTGGGGGGTCGGCTCGTTGCTGGTGTTGTGTTGATGGTCGTGGGCGTCCATGGCCTCCATGCACCGACTTCAAGTGGGGGTCTTGGCTGTCCCACCTCGTCCCGCTATGGCTAGGGGTCACAGTGCCCTCGGTGGGGGCGAACCCCAGGCCTGGTACTTATTATTGTCGGAGTGGAATGTCTCGGCTGTCCTGTGCTTCGCCCTCGGGCGCTCGGGTAGCTCCTCCTTCTCCATGGGAATGGTGGGGGTGGCGAGCTAGGGCGGACCGCGGGGGCGCAGGTAGTGGCCGTCCTACCCCCCCCCTGCCCCTCACCATCCCCCCTGGTGGGCGCGGGAAGTACTCGTCCTTCCCTCCTCCCCCTCCTTCTTCTCCTTTTCCTCTTTCTCATGCGCCTATTCCTCCTTATCCTCCCTCTTCCCTCCTCCCACCTCACCGTCCGCCTCCTCCTCCTCCTCCGATTCCTTATGCACCCTCCCCCTCTTGGGATGCGACGGCTTCCCAGCCCTTCCCCCACCTTGTGCTGTAGGTCCCCCCCAGGGGCGCGACTCGCGCGTCGTGGTCCGAGCCTGCACTGCCGCCCTCTCCCGCGGGCGGCGGCGTGAGGGCGAGAGGGCGCGAAGATAACTGCGAGTTGCGCATCGCGGGGGGGCGATGCGCGAAGTTAGGCGACCTACGTAGATGCCTGCTGCCGTTTTGGCCGAAGAGCGCTGATTCAGCGCCATCCATATTTTATATCCGAGTCTCCGCGGAAGCAGGCAGTGCTCAAACTGATCAGACTCGGGCTGCTTGTTGTGAAAATCGCAATTGCAAAGTTGTGCATCGTCATCGTACTTTGCTATCGGTATTCTCGATTCGTGGGCCTTCTCCGGCAGTGCAACGGGGTCCCACGTGACGTACATACATATTATCCACGGTGTCACTATGTCTCCGGCCTCTGCGTCCTTAATCGCTGCAGTGGCCCAGCGTCTGTACACCGATATCTTAGATGGCAGTTCTGAGGAGGCAGCACAATTGGTTGGAAACTTGCACAAGAAAACCCAAGAGCGAGGCTTGGTCTGCACATCGGAAACTCTGGTGGTTATCAAGGCTTTGTTCGGCGTGGTGTCCCTGGAACTCCTTTTTGCTCGAGTTTCCCACAGAGTCTATGTCACGGTATGCGATTTGCTGCTTGAGGTGGAAAGTTGGCTCTTCCCAGCGTCGTACAGGACTCGGCGTCATGACTCGGACGCGGAACTTCTCTGGGGGAGTTTGCACATTAGTCGTAGTCTGTTATGGTTGCGAAAGGCGTCATGCTGCCGACAAGCCAGAGGTGTCCTACTAGCTTTGTGCCCTCATCACCGTGATGCCTTGAGCTGCCCTGGCCAATTGAGGGCTGCAGGCGGCGAGGTCTTGCTTAAGCATGCGATCGCCGCGCTCATAGATGTGCAGTGGAAGGCTTTGACTTCGACGCAGTCGGAATGGGAAGTTCCACAATCTGGGGTCTACGCCTGGGTTGGATCCGGCTTCTTGTACGTTGGTTTGGCTTCGCGAGTTCGTTCAGGCTCGCGGCAACATGGCGGCATGTTATACCGTTGGCTTGAGCATGGTTGCGGCCGGGCCCGGAGCAGCCTACCCGAATCCAGCAAGCTTCGTTACTGACTCGCTCGACGAGGACAGCCTTTCCATCAGACCTTCGTGTGCCTTCGAACTGGCAGTGCGGATCAGATGAGATTAGTGGAAACGGCGTGTATTCGTTCTCTCCCTTGTTCGGCGAATGGTGGCCAAGGCTTTGAGTTGCGACGACGCTGCCCTACACACCCCCGCGTGCCACGGCATCGTCCTGCGAAGGGAGTCCGCGGCAAGTGCAGCAACACACGTATGACAGGCATCTTTGATAGAGGTCTTCCTTTTCTTTCCCGGGCTGGGCAACAGGCGGCTCAGGGCCAATGCCGCCCACCGACGTCAGCCAAGGAGTGCGAGCTTTGGAAGACGGAGTGGTGGTGGAAAGAGTCGTTTTCGCACGTGTACTTTGCCTGGCAACGCACTGTTGCACAAGCAGCAGGACCAATCGACATCTATTCCAAATCCCACTGGCCTCTCCTCATCCTTTTCCTTGGCTCTTTGCGGGCGTGCGTGGACTGGGAGCGACTTGAGGACGCATGGGTTGTCGACTGCGGTCCCATCTTGGCGGCCCAGTTCCTTACTTTGGTGTGGGGTCCCCTTCGACGCCAGCGCGCTGAGCGGCGGATTGATGCCGCGTTGGAAGCCCGAGGACTCCCGCCCATCAGAGGCATATCAGTGACAGTTGCTTTCCGTGCTCAGTCGGCGGCCATCTCGAAGTGTATTCGGCAGTGCTCGCTTCTCTGCGACAGGCCGTTTATGGAGCGCGCTTGGCTCTCCAGTCATATCCGTGTTCTCCCTGGCCGGCAGCGCCTGCATGCAGATTCTGTTGATGGTTCACGAGTTTCCAAGACGGTCACTCTGTCAGAGTTTCGCGGTTTGTCGACGAACTCTGTGCGCCGAGCATGGTTTGGGAGGGGGATGCGCCATGTAGCTCAACGATGGGATGTTCCCGTCCGCGTGCCGTTGGACGACATGGCACGTGATGCTTGGTCCACAGCATTCCGAGTGTGCAAAAAGTGGTTTGGCCTGAGTGTCTGGAAGTCTGCAGGGAGGTTCTGGCCGCTCTGCAGATTCCAGCAAGACCGCTCCATGGGCAAGCAAAGCGATCGATGGCGTGAGTCGTTTACGGAATATGCGGATTTGTCTAGCGCTTTGCAGCCACAGGTCGACTGCCATATCTGCTGGGATGACAAGGATAAGAAAACTGCTTGGATCGTTCCCCGAAGTTGTTTTGTGTTCAACCTGTTCCAGTATGTGTCGAACAACGTGTCCTGGAGGCCGGCTGGAGTATGTCCAGAGTCTGCGAACAGCCTTCTCCACACCACCCTACGAGCAGCCATCCCCGACCGCTTGCACAAGTGGCTTGGCATCTGTCCGAGCGTTTGGGTTTTGCCGCATGTGTACAACACGGTGAAAAGAAAATGTTTTCGTGGACACTCTGACAAACCGCACTCTTGCACCCGCTCTGGCCACAGCTGTTGCAGGAAAATCCTTAGCTTCGCTTGCTGGCCGAGGAAAGGCAATTGGCGGCTCCTCTCTCGTGGTCTGGAAACCGTCACCAAGATGTTCACTCCAGGTTTCGAAGTCTGGAGGTTGCGCGATTCGGCGCCAGTCCTTCGAGCACGCATCAATCGGGTGCGCAGGTCGCCCGGTGCAGGACAGTGTTCTTGCTTCAGGTGTGCGGGCCCTCGGCGGCCCCTCGAAGGCCTAGTGGCGGATGCAGGTCAGTTTTTCGAGAGTGTGCGGGCCACGGATGCGAACGAGGCAGTGCGTTTCATGTTGCAGAGGGCCTCAGCTTCACAAGCGCACGACGCAGTGACGGTCTTTAGGTCTCGCAGTCGTCGTGCGTTCTTGGGCGGGCGCCCAGGGAACCCGCGACGCGATTTAGCAACTTTCACCTTCGCGGAGCTCGCCATGTGCCTCGTCGGGTTCGTGCGTATGAACTTGGCTTGTGTCGGCGATGTGGTGTGGGAGTTCGATGGTGTTCCCATTGGGGGGGTCCTCAGCAAAATCGCTGCTTCGTTGATTTTGTGCCGTTCCGAGACATGTTGGGTAGAGAACGTTAGCAACTTCTGTCTTCAAGGATTTACCCCCCCGGGCTTGCAGTGGCCTGATGTCGTGGCGTGTTGCAGGTACGTCGATGACGTAGCGATGGTGTCTTCATTCTTGTGCCAACGCTGCCTGAAGGATGCTCTCGCCATGCTGTACCCGGTGCCTTTCGACGTCGCTTCTGATGGGCGCATGCTTGTTTGGCTGGATTTGGCAATTGATCTGGACAGGTGTTGTTTAGATCTGTGGCCAAAGGTTTTCAGCACGCCGCCGGCATGGGCCTCGTCTCCGCGAGCTCTCCGGGCATACATGCTCGGTCGGATCGCGAGGTGGTCCGAAATTTATTTATCAATAGACCAGCTCATAGACCATTCTGCCCGCTTAATCGTGGATCTGCGAGCGTGCGGATGGGGCCCGCAAGCGTTCCGACACGTGTATTTTTCCATGCGGGGTCGGCCAGCATCCACAGAAGTGGTAGTGTTACGGCATGCCCTCCAAGTGGCCGTGCGCAGTCCTTAGCGTGGGAGGGTTTCGTTCTCTTCCCCCCCACCTTGTGCTGTAGGTCCCCTCCAGGGGCGCGACTCGCGCGTCGTGGTCCGAGCCTGCACTGCCGCCCTCTCCCGCGGGCGGCGGCGTGAGGGCGAGAGGGCGCGAAGATAACTGCGAGTTGCGCATCGCGGGGGGGCGATGCGCGAAGTTAGGCGACCTACGTAGATGCCTGCTGCCGTTTTGGCCGAAGAGCGCTGATTCAGCGCCATCCATATTTTATATCCGAGTCTCCGCGGAAGCAGGCAGTGCTCAAACTGATCAGACTCGGGCTGCTTGTTGTGAAAATCGCAATTGCAAAGTTGTGCATCGTCATCGTACTTTGCTATCGGTATTCCTTTCTCCCACTGAATGCTCCCCCGCATCCCTGATCCTCCCTCCCTCCCGCCCTCCTGCTCTTGCCTCCTCCCTCGTGCCTCCTCCCTCCTCCTTTTTCACTCCTCCGCCCCCCCTCCTCATCGCCTTCTTTTCCCTCCTCCTCTTCCTCACCTTCCCTCTCCTCCTCCTCTGATGGCGGCCTTGGCGGCCGTTGCTGCCCGCAGCGCCCTTCCCCTTGCTGGTCGTTTTGTCGAAGTGGCCTTGGGCGTGGCCTTCAGAGGAGAGGGGACTTGGTGTGGTGGTGGGGGGGGGGGCGGGCGGAGAAGAAACGGCACCATGTCCGTGCTGCAAATTCTGTCGAAGTGATTATCTGGTGCCTCTGACCCCAATGGCAGGCTCTGCCCGCCGCTGCTGCAGCTGCCGAGGCTGGCGCCTTATTTTCTCATCTGCTCGCCTTGCTCCTCCCCCGTCACCTATCATTATTCGCCCTGTCCTTCGCCCACCTCATCTCAAAATCCCTGGACTGGACGTGTTGCTCCCCCTCCCCAGAACTTCCTCCGCGCACTATTGGTTGAAAACCATCCGGTGGATGCTGACCATCACGGCATGCTCTCTAGCTCTCTCTCTCTCTCTCTCGCTCTCTCTATGTGTACATGTATACTCGCGATATATGTATACCTATGTTTACACATGTACATGCATAGATGCATACATATGCATCTCAATACTTGAAGGTGTGAATATACACATGCACACAGATCAGAATGAGGGGGGCCGAACGGTCATTCACTGTGCCTGGGTGCGTGGCTGAAGTGGGACTCCGCGATGCGGATTATGCGTGTTGTCGCTATGTGTGTTGCTTGTTGTTTGTTGTTGTTGCTGTTGTTTGGCGTCGTCCCCCCTGCGACCTGGCCCGCGACCCACCCGCGACCCACCCCGCGACCCGCCCGCGATACACCCGCGATCCACCCGCGACCCACCCGCGACCCACCCGCGACCCCCCCCCCACGACCCGCCCGCGATCCACCCGCGACCCACCCGCGAACCACCCCCGACCTGGCCCGCGATTCACCCGCGACTCACCCCGCGAACCACCCACATTGCTTCAACGAAAAGTCGGCGCCTGCGGCGGGCTTCCTCAGAACCTCGCAGACTGCAGACGTCCCTGCCGCCCCCTCACTCTTATCCGCAACTGCGGGGTGCTACGTATATGTATCTATATGATGATGATGCCGGTGATGATGACCCCTACATATGTGCATGCATCTACCGATAGACTATAGCCCCCATAGTTGTGGATGAGAGTCGATGTGCCCACACATTCCACCCCATCATAAGGAGCCAGCTGCAGGCGCCAAATCTTCGTTGACGCAATGTGGGTGGGTCGCGGGCGGGTCGCCAGTGGATCGTTTTAGGTCGCGGGTGCCACCCGCCGGGTGGGTCGCGAAAGGGTTGCGGACGGGTCGCGGTCGTGGGTGGGTCGCGGGCGGGTCCCGGGAAAGAGCGACGAGAACAATAAACAGACATCAGAAATCCTTACCGCAGAAGCCCACTTCAGACACACACACACACAAACACCCAGAGAAGGTGAACATCTTTCGCCACCACGCTGACAGCACTGTATATACATATGTATCTGACTGGCCCGTGTGTGCCCAGATTCCTGGAAAAACGACCGGCAGCACGCAAGCATCGCAGAAGGTGGACAAGAAGAGGAACACGAAGGCGGATCCGAGTAGCAGGAATCGGGGAGAAGACGGAGAAGCAGAGGAGACAAGCAGATGCATACATATATACACACGCTCCCCAAATACTGGTTGCACGAAGGGGTATTGAACTGTTGGCGGTGAAAAATTGACTGCGAATTCTGGGCTTTTGCTTGGTGGGCATCCGTGGGCGCCTCGCGGGCGCCTCGTGGGCGCCTCGCGTTGGTCGGGCGTTCAAGGTCTTCGGCTGGTGGGCGCCCGCCGGCGCCTCGTGTTAGCTCGGAGTTCCAGGTTTCTGGCCGGTGCGCCCAGGGGCGCGTTGTGGCGGCTCGTGTCGGCTGGGAGTTCTCGGTCATCGGCTGGCGGGCCCCCGTGACTGCAACGAATAGCGTGTACCGAACTGCTGCCCTGAACATAATCAGGCTAGAACCCAATCTCGAGGCCAGACTTCACCTCGCCCCTCCGCGTTTGTTTTCTGTGTCATGTATTCTGAGAGCTCGTTGATCCAAACATATCACACAATAGAATGCCACCCCTGCCAAACATTACTATTCGGAAGCCCCTGTGCTGATCGGAGGCCCCTCAACACGAGCGTCATAATGTTATATGCATGCCAGGCCTGGAGGCAGTGACAGACTGAGCATCAGGTCTGCCCGCCCTCGCATAACATGTCTACATTCAACAGCTTGGTGGGGGGGTGGGGCATCTTCTGAAAACTGAACGCACGTTCACCCTCCTCCCACGGTGCGCCCTCCCCTTCCCCCCCGGCCCCCCTCCGTCCCTCGCGACCTCCATCCCGCACTTCCTCACACAATGGCTTCACCTCATTCTTGTCATCCCCCCTGGCACCATCCCCCAAACAAGAGCAATCGATGTCGACGGCTGTTCGCCCTGCAGCTCAGGCCACTGCGCCCGCCACTGGGCCGCCAGCTACGGCAGAAAGGATCTCCCACCGCGGCGTTTGGCGGCGCGCACAAGGGGGCAGGGGGAGGGGGGGGAAGGCTTCTTAGAAAGAGGCTGCTTCTTAGAAGGCGCAGGCCCTACATCTACAGACGAGGCCCGCCGCTTCTAAGAAGCAGGAGTGCTTCTAAGAAGCCTCCCCCCCTTCCCCCTCCCCCCCCTGGGCCCCCCTGCGCGTGGCCGAAGCGTCGCGCTCGACGTCTGACCGCCGCCTCGCCCCATCCACGCACGCCCCCCCCCGCCGCCCGCGCCTCCTGTGTCTGGGCGCGCTTCGCGCCTGGGCTCCGGGGCCCGGTGGCTCTCCTCCTGTAGTCCTCCGCCGTCTCGTCGCCCTTCAGGCGCTCCAGGAAGACCCACTCGCCCGCCGCGGTCTGGCCGAGCGCCTTTCCCGGTGGTCGGCTGGCCGCTCCGAGGACGGCGGAGCGCAACGCCCCGACGGCACATGCTTTCCATAGTTTTGGGGGCCCCCGGCGGTCTGGGCACCCGTGTCGGGCCCCGGAGATCCCACAAAACCGTACAGGAGGAGGAGCCGGCCCACGGGGGTTGGGTCAGCAGTCCCCTCCTTGCGCGCTCCAGAAGCGCTACCCCCCACCCCCCTCCCTGTCCAGAGGGGGGGGGGGCTGAACTACCCACCCACCCCCTTTGAACCCCCCCTGCCGGAAGACCCCTCCCTTTGAACCCCCCTTGCCGGAAGCCCCCTCCCTGTCCAGAGGGGGGGGGGCTGAACTACCCACCCACCCCCTTTGAACCCCCCCCTGCCGGAAGCCCCCTCCCTCCTCCCCCCTTCTGGGCTAAAGAAGGGGGGGGGCTTGGACGCCCTCCCCCCTCTGGCTGAAGGAAGGAGCGCCGAAGACCAAAAGTGCGCCGAACATCAACAGGGCGCCGAAAGCCAAAGAGCCACCGAAAAGGTGCGAAAACCAGATGCAAAAACCGAAGGAACGCAGAAAACCAAAAAGGCGTCGAAAACCGAAGGTGCGCCGAAAACCAAAAGGGCGCCGAAAACCAACAGGGCGCCGACAACCAAAAGGGAGCCAAAGACCAAAGGAGCTCCAAAAACCAAAAGAGCGACAAAAACCAAGAGGGCGCCGAAAACCAAAAGGCGCCGAAAACCAACCAGGCGCCGAAAACCAACCAGGCGCCGAAAACCAAAGAGGCGCCGAAAACCAAAAACGGCGCCGAAAACCAGCGGGGCGCCGAAAGCCAAAGAGGCGCCGAAAACGAAAGGAGCGCCGAAAACCAGAGCAGCGCCGAAAACCAGAGCAGCGCCGAAAACCAACGTTCCGCCGAAAACCAACGTTTCGCCGAAAAACTAAAGGAGCATTGATAACGAAAAGGGCGCCGAAAACGAAAAGGGCGCCGAAAACAACATCAGCTCCGAAGACGGACAGGGCGCTGAAAACAAAAACGGCGCCGAGAACAACAGGGGCGCCGACAACCGCAGGAGCGCCGAAAACCAAAGAGGCGCCGAAAACCGAAGAGGCGCCGAAAACCAAAGGAGCGCCTAAAACCAACAATGCGCCGAAAACCAAAACGGGCGTCGAGAACAAACGATGCGCCGAAAACCCACAACGGGGGCCGATCAACCAAAGACGCGCCGATAACCAAAGGCGCGCCGAAAGCCGCAGGGCGCCCAAAACCAAATGGGCGCTGAAAACCAAAGAACGCCGAAAACCAACGGCGCGCGAAAACCAAAAAATAAAACGAACTTCGAAACTTCCCCTGTAGCCAGGGCCTCCCGGCTGGAAAAGCCAAGAGAAGGAGGGGATGGGGGGATAACTTCGGAAGCCCCCCCCCTTCGGAAAGAAGAGCGCGGGCTGGCCCTGGGCCCCAAAAAGGACGGGGGGGTAGCTTCCCACCCCTCTTTTCGCCAGGGACCCCCCAGCTACAAAATCCGGACAAAAGGAGGGGGGATGGCTTCGGAAGCCCCCCCCCCTTTAGCTAGGGCCCCCAACTAAAAGATTACCACACAAGGCGGAGGGAGGGGGGGGAGCTTCGGAAGCTATCCTGCTTTTCCAAGGGCGGGGGGGAACTTGAAGCTGGGCCCCCCCTTTCGGTGATAAGTGTGCCACGAGCTCGTTGTTTCTTACATGTTGTACGTACGTATGTATTTATAAATGTGTATGTAGGTAGGTAGGTAGGTAGGTAGGTAGGTAGGTAGGTATGAATGAATGTATGCATGCATGCACGTATGTACGTACGTCTGTATGTATGCACGCATGCATGCACGCATGCATGCACGCATGCACGCATGTATGTATGTGAATATGTATGTATGGAAATAGAAATGCCTGTAGGTATGTATGTACGTGTATACCTACACTCCCCAAACAATGCTTGCGCTTAAGGCTTCTTACTGCTCGTTTAAGGATCTGGGCTTGTCTGTCGGTCTGGCGGCCATGTTGCCGCCGTCGCCGCCCCGTCGCCCCCCGTAACTGGCCCTGTCTGCGCGTCTGGCGGCTATGTTGCCGCCGTCGTCGCCCCGTCGACGCCTCGTCGCCCCTAAATGGGCCTCTCTGTCGATCTGGGGGCTATGTTGTCGCCGTCGCCGACCCGTCGCTGCCGTCGCCGCCATTCGATGAAACACCATAGATTGCACCTCATTTGTTGCATCACATGTGTTTGTTCACATCGGTCGCGCAACACAGTTTACCATATGGGTTGCACTACATAGATTGCACGACGTATTTTGGGAAAACCATAGATTGCACACAGCAAACTGCGCAACATAGATTGCGTTGCATTGGTTGCACACAAGAGGTTGCACAACATAGGTTGCACCAGATAGAGTGCATGTCATACAATGCTGGACATATATTGTACCACACATATTGCACCACATCGGTTCTCTTTTTCGAGCAACGATTTCGCATCTACTACCAACCCCCACTCCCCGGGGCGATCGGCCTCCATCAGGGGATGTGCAATTTATGTATGACTATGACCCATCGTTCCTTATGAACATGACTTCGTACCATCCCAGCCAGGTCGGTGTCGATACCCCTCCTTGCCCCCGTAAAATGAGACTATGCGCGCGCATTCGCATATGTATCACGAATACTCCATGTGGACGAACCCCTTGCAACAACAATGGGCGACACGTACACGGTACACGCGCGCGTCGTCGCGCATGCTTGCCGGAATTACTCAAGAACCGTAGGCTCCGTAAAACATTCCAAGCCGAATATCCCGAGCACGTGTAAACAACCGCTGGTGCTGCAGTGTGTTGTTTCCAAAAAAACTGAGCGCGAGGCTCGCGCGAATACTTCATATAGCCGTTCGTTTACCAATATGATTGTTCAATGCGACCAAACAGGCCTCTCGCGCGCGCGTGTCGAAATCATTTGAACGCACCTCCGCGCGTGTCGGGAAGGTACGGATCCCTATCAAAAATACCATCCCGGCCACTCGCGCGTGTCGGCCGCGCGCGCATGCCGGAATCCGTCCAAGGAGGAGGAGAAGGAGGAGAAGGAGGAGGAAGAGGAGGAGGAGCAGGGGAAGAACACAACGCAACGTCGTTAAAAACAATGTGGAAGAATCACCAGCACCTGTCGAGCCAGGCCAAGCCGCCTCGGCCCTGGGCCCAAAACGGGACACAGAGGCCCAGGATTCCTCGCGAAGCCTACATCGGAGGGGGGATCCGCCTGGCCGTCACGGGCGCCCCGCTGTTTGAGCGGCGAAGAGGACATAGAAGAAGAAGAAGAAGAAGCAAGAGAAGAAGAAGGGTAATAGTAATAGTAATGAAAAGAATAATAATAATGATGATAATAATAATAATGATAATAATGATGATAATAATAATAATAATAATAATAATACTAATGATAATGATACTAATAATAATAATCAAAATAATAATAATAATACTGATGATAATAATAATAATATGAAAAGAATACTAAGAAAAAAGCAACGCCATAAACATAAATTGTTGGCGCTTCGCGCGAATTTCTTGGATCCGCGCCAGGGGCGGCGCCAGGTGGGTCCAGCGCGGATCCAAGAAATCCGCGCGGGCCGTTTTTCTTCCTCGATCTGTTTAAGCGACGAAAGGGAAGAGGGTCTCACGCGAGATGACACAGCGACCCTCCGCGGTGGCTTGTGCGGGCCGCCAGCGCGGCATGCTACATCGGAAACGCGGGCAGCTTGCGCGCGCATGCCGGCGCAATCGATTCCGTTTCTCTGAGTCGCTCACTTGGCCCTGGAGTGGACAACCCACACTTGGCACGCCCAAAATGGAGAGGGAAAAAAGGGCACGATGCCGAACAGCCGAACGGGAAATGTGATCCAAAAACAACAGCGGCCACTGTTGGAAAGGCGCCTCTTTGCCTCAAATGGACACCGTCCGCGGCGACGCCGACAACGCCTCCTGTTCAAAATGAACAAAAACTGCTGTCGTTCTTCGTGCCCATTCTCTCTGCACCCACTCCGATCGTACCGACACGCGACCACGGGCCACGCCCGAGCTATTGGGGACAAATCCGGTCTGGGGCAACTCCAGCTTGGACCCCCAAGGCACCAACCAGGAGCTACCCCTGACCACCCCCAACCAATGGCTGGGCGCCCGAACTCTCCGAGATACCTCCGGTCCAGCCCCCGAGGCCCGAAGCGGGAGCTGCCCCTCACGCCCCCCCCAGCCCCGCTGCTTCGGGGCTCTGGGCCTTTGCGCCGTCCGGCGCCACCAGCGCGCCCGCGCTCAGCTCCACCTCGTCGCCGACCAAGAGGCCCGCGCCGGCGCAGGCCGACACCCAGCGGCCGCCCTCGGGAGGCGTGCGGGGCCCGGCCTGCCGCGGGAGGGGGGGCTGTCGCGGGACAAGGTCTGCCGCGGGAGGGGGGGCTGTCGCGGGATAGCCTGGCGGCGAGCCCTCCGAATCAGAGACGTCCTGTTTGCCCTCCTCCTCGCGAGACCGGCCCGGGGCCGAGCGAGGGCCAGCCGCCCGACTTGGCCCAGAGGAGGCCCAGGTGGGAGCAGGGCCCAGGGGGCGTTGTGGCCCGCCCTCAACTTCAGCCTCGCCCTCACTTTCATCGTCGATCCTCTCGGCGGCGAGCCTGGGGGGAAGTGAGAAGGGGCGGGCCTTGTCAGAAGGCTCGGAAGGCCTCGGCCTTCTGAGAAGTTGCCTCAGCCATTCCCCGAAGACGCGGACAACTGCTCAGAAGGCCGGAGGCCTCCTGAGAAGCCCCGCCGCCTTCTGAGAGGGCCTACCCCCTCTCACTTCCCCCCCCGGGCGCGCCGCCGATTAACGGCGTGGTTGGGCATATGCGACACCGAGCGCCCGCAGAAACACAGGTACTGGAGGTCACGAACCCTGCGCTCCAACACTTCAGGCCTGCAAGTGCAGCGAGCGGGAGAACGGCACAGCGACCTTGCAGGAAAGACTGCACTACGCTTTCCAATTGCTTTGGCCACGGACCAGTCCAACCTATGACGCGGAGACCTCCTCCCATTCCTCCTCCTCCTCCTCCTCCTCCTCCTCCTCCTCGTCTTCCTCCTCCGACATTCCTTTTCCTTACAAATAACTTCTAACTGTCGCACCCCGAGGCCAGTTCTTAGGGCGGGCCGGGCGTTTCGCCTGAGACTTCCTCACCACTTATGACTCTGCAGCTTCACAGATGGAGGGCGGGTGGTTTTCAAAATGTGGCTCTCGCCTTTGCGCCGCGCACATTCGTTTTAAACATTAGCAAGAGTTTCACGGATTGAGGGCGGGTCGTTTTGAAAATGTGGCGCTCGCCTTAGCGCAGCGCACATTCGTTCAAAAATGCTTGCAAGAGTTTCACGGATTGAGTGCGGGTCGTTTTCAAAAAGTGGCGCTCGCCTTAGCGCAGCTCACATTCGTTCAAAGATGCTTGCAAGAATTTCACGGAATGAGGGCGGGTCGTTTTCAAAATATGGCTCCCGCCTCAGCGCCGCGCGCATTCGATTGACAGAACCGCAGGAGCTTCACGGATTGAGGCCGGTCGTTTTCAAAATGTGGCTCTCGCCTCAGCGCCGCGCGCATTCTTTTTAAACATTTGCAAGAGTTTCAATGATCGAGGGCGGGTCGTTTTCAACATGTGGCTCTCGCCTCAGCGCCGCGCGCATTCGATTGACAAAGACGCAAGAGCTTCATGGATTGAGGGCGGGTGGTTTTCAAAATGTGGCTCTCGCCTTGGCGTCGCGCACATTCGTTTTGAACACTTGCAAGAGCTTCACGGATTGAGGGCGCGTCATTTTCCAAATGTGGCTCTCGCCTTGGCGCCGCGCATATTCTTTTTAAGCATTTGCAAGAGTTTCACGGAGCCCCATGAGCAACGTTCCAGACATGGTGTTTTGGAAGGATTCAGGATTTCGCGGGTGCAACAGTTATGTTGGTTCGCGGTGCCAGTGCCGACGTCTCGAAAATGGCGTTCTGGCACGATTCTGGATCGTCAAGACGCAGCAGTCAAGTTGATCCGTGGCGTTGAAATCCCGAGTGCAATGTTTCGGCATGCTTCACGGTCTTCAAACGGTTGTTTTCCAACGAGGCAGTTCCCTCAATGGAAATGACCCGTTGTAGGGGATCCCTCTTGGGCTTACACTCCTCCTCCTCCTCCTCCTCCTCCTCCTCCTCCTCCTCCTCCTCCTCCCCCCCTCTTCTTCTTCCTCCTCCTCCTCCTCCTCCTCATTCTCCTCCTCCTCCTCCTTCCTCCTCCTGCTCCTCCTGGTCAAACATAGCAACACATAGAAGAGGGACAGGCCCGACTTCATGCTAACTCTGGAGGATCTGTTGCGGATGCCTCTCGCAAGCTGGCTTTGCACTGCTTGAGGAGGAACCGAGCGGGGGCCTTGTCGTCGTGTCGGTGCGTTTCGTTTCGTTTCGGTTCGGGCTCACACCCCGTTCGGTCCGTCTCACTTCGGGCTAGTCTTAAGTCGGGCGTGTCCCCCTACAGGGGGATTTTCGAGGAAACATTTGAAATAGTCAAAAAAATACCCACCCCAACATGGTCAAACAATACTCCAAACATCGTCCACAAACTATTTTTTGACTATTTCGGAATATGTCTCCTGTAGAGGGACAGGCCCGACTCAACGCTAGCCGACGCTGAAAATGGAACTGCGAGGGCATACCAGGCTCCCACGACTTGCTGCCGACCTCTTGGTGCCCTCGGGCCTCCCCCGGCCCGCGCCCCCTGGGTCCCCCCTGGCGCCCCCGTGGGGCGGGTGCACACAAAGCGAGAGATACGACACGACGAGAACGACGCGCTGAACTGAAGTGGCCCCAGGACACACAAATAAATACACACAAATAAAAAGATTCCCCCCCATATTTTCCCATATTTTCTTGGTTTCTGTCTTCCCCCTCAGTTCCCATATTTTCCCATATTCTCTGGGGAATCGAGGATTAATTGTGTCTGTGTGTTTCTTTTCCTCCTGAAGGACAGAAGAAGAAAAAACGCTCTCAACATAAACTTTTGGCGTTCCGCGCGGCTTTCTTGGATCGCGCCAGGGGCGGCGCCGGAGGCGCCGCCCGGGGGGGCCAGCGCGGATCCAGGAGATCCGCGCGGAGCGCCAAAAGTTTAATTATGCTTACGGTGCTTTTTCTTTTTCGGCAGAAGCCTCCTCCTTCTCGCCCCCGCCCCTCGCCCCTCGCGCGACTCGTCTGCGCTCGCCCTCGGGACCGCACGGTGCCCGCGGGCCACTCCCCCGAACCTGCGCCTCCCCTGCCGGCGGCTGCACCTCCACCTCGGCCGCCGCCCTGGCGGCTGGCGCGGCTCCGCCGCCCGAGGCCTGCCGCCGGGGCCGAGTTCTCGCAAGCAGGGGCGGGGAGCTCCTCGCTCTGGATGGGCCAAGTTTTCCACCACCACTGCCATGGGCAGGACGGGGGAGAAGAGAGGATGGTGAGGTCCTCCTCCTCCTCCTCCCCCTCCTCCTCCTCCTCCTCCTCCTCCTCCTCCTCCTCCTCCTCCTTCCTTCCTTCCGACCGCTTCACGCGCGCCCTCGGGTCGGGCGGCGCGGCCGGCCGGGCCCCGCGGCGCGGCCCTCAAACATCGTGGGCTATGCCCACGGACCCCCCCTCCGTCGGGGCCGGGGGCCAGTCGGCTAGCGCCCGACGCCTGAGCGGGGGGCGCCCCACCTTGGGCCCCCCAGGGAGGGGTTGCCCGACGGCCCCCCCAGGTCATGGCGGAGTGCCGCGCGGCCAGGACCCCCGGCAGCCCCGCCGGGGGAGGCTGGGTTGCTGCCGGTGGGTACTCGGCCCGGTGCGGAAGGGCGACGATTGGACCGTTTCCAGATGGGCCAACGAACCGCAACGGGGGCGGGGGCCGGACGAACAAGGAACGGGGGAAGCGCAGGGCCCGGGGGCAGCGGGAGGGGGGAGCAGGGGGGGGGAGGCGAAGGCGAGGGAGAGGAGGGAGGGGAGGGGAGGGCGCACCCAAGGGAGGGCCGGGGGCGACAGGGCCGAGGGGCGACGGGCCGGGGGAAGGGCCACCCAGGGCCCATGGCGCAGGGGCCAGAACGGGGCCCAGGGCGTTTCCTCGGGCCCGCGCCCTTCCGCTCCGGCTTAGTTCTTCACGCGCGGACTTCAGGGAGCGAGGCGCCAGCCGCACTATGCTGGAGCGCCGTGGGGCCCGCTCCCGCCGCGCGCGCCAGCGCGTCCCGCTGGGCAGGGCCCGCGCGCCAAGAGTGCTCCTGCGCGTGCGCCGCCGCTCGGACCTGGCGGCGGTACTGCGCGCGGGCCCCGACCCCCGCTTGGGGCCCGGGCGGGTCCGGGAGGTGCCACCGGACAAGCAGCTGCCGGACGTGCTGCACCCAGGAGCCCGCGGCCTGCTCCGCGAGCACGAGGACCTCCCGGGCCTCCACGTACCTGGGGTCCGCGAGCACTCGGCCGTGCAGGCGGATCGCGCGCTCCTCCATCATCGTGGACCATCGGAGCGCCCATCCCATGTGGTGGAGAATGAGGACGCGCGGGATGGGCCCGCGCACACCCAGAGCATCTCGGCCCCAGCGCTCTTGGAGGCGGTTTAGGGTCGTCGCGAACCCCTCCGCGTGGGCGCACAGCTCAGCTCCATGCGCCACCTTCGGGAGCGTGCTGGCAGTCAGGCCTAGGCTCAGCTCGTGGAGCGCGAAGCCGAGGTTCTCCATGATCATGGTGTGCTTTCGCCCGACTCCGAGCGCCTGCCGCTCGATTGCCCGAGCGCCTCCTCCCTCTCCTACCTTTTGTAGTGGTGGTGGGAGATCGGCCCAACATCTTTCTGGACTGCCTCGAAGTTGTCCGACAAGGTCTTACCATCCTGACTGCGCTGGTATGTGCGAATGTGGGTCGGGGACGCATTGACCCGGGCCAATCCTGGACCATGCAAGCCCGGGCCAGTCAAAGCTTGGCAAAATCCTGCAAGATCCTGCACGCAGGCCCGGGGATCAATGCACCCGTGGCTCTGCAGGATCCTGCAAGCTCCGGCGCTCCGGTTGACCCCCGTTTGCATCGACTTCCGTCTCAAGCCTCCCGAATGGACCCGAGCATCACGTTACCGTGAGACTCTACCCGAGCGACTGCGCACCAGGAACCCTGGCGGGTCCCGAGATGAAACACGTGCAGCTGCAGTAGCAGCGGCGGCGGTGGCAACAGCATCAGTGGTGGCATCAAAACGCACGCAGACTGCGGCCAAGGAGAAGCTGGCGGCGCGCACAAGGGGGGCTGGGGGAGGGGGGGGAAATGCTTCTTCGAGGGAAACCATTTCTTGGAAGGCGCCGGCCGTACATCTACAGACAAGGCGCCGGCCTTGCATCTACATCTGAGAAAAAGGGGTGTTTCTAAGAAGCCTCCCCCTTCCCTCCTCCTCCTCCTCCTCCTCCTCCTGCTCCTGCTCCTGCTTCCTCCTCCTCCTCCTCCTCCTCCTCCTCCTCCTCCTCCTCCTCCTCCTCCTCCTCCTCCTCCTCCTCCCATACCCCCCTCTGCACGTGGCCGAAGAAGCCTGCACGTGCATACCAGGTGGTTTGCGGCCCGCATCCACGCAACGCGAGGCGAGCGGCCCACAGCACGTCCACACTGCGAGAATGGGCGGCATGTCGCGGGCCCTGCCGGCCAGGATCGCTCCACAACCTGCGCAGCCTCTTCCGATCTCCATAGCGCTACGGATGTGCCCCCCTCTGCGCGTGGCCGACCCACTCCCGCTTCACATCGATCCCCTGGTTTCCCCCCGCACTCCGAGCTCGTCTTCCGACTTCCGATCTCCATAGCGCTACGACTGGGCTCCTTACTCAGACGGGGAGCGGGGCCAGCCGTATTCTAGCTGGTGGATAACTTGCGATTTCTTGGCATGACTCGGCGCATTGCAGATCCCACCTCCGTTCATTGTTTGCTGCAGATGCTCCTTGACTTCATTTGTCCATTCCTCCCTTGCGTCTCTGCGGCAGAGCTTTCCGCTTCCATCTCCGCCATGGCGAGGGCGCAGTTTCTGAGCAAGTTGTGAGGAATTATTTGGCGAGAGCGCGATTCCAAGTGAAGTTGTAAGTAAATCTCAGATGAGGGTACACTTCCAGAATGTCGAGAGCGCGGACCTGAAACAAAGTATGACTAAGTACCAGGCGATTCTTGAGAAGTGTGCGAGGAAGTCTCTGGCGAGATCGCACTTTGTGAGCAAATAGTGGTAAGGCTCCAGCAGAAGCCATTGTAGTTGTAGTCCAGATCATCCCTAAGCTTTGGTTCTGGGGAGGAAGATTCTCACAGGCCGCTTCTGTCCCCATGCGGGGATTCGGTGATTCGGTTGCCTTTCGCCGTCTCCGCTCCCCTTGCCGCCCGGGCCCGAGGCGGGGTTGCAAGTATCGGCCGGTGCTCCCGTGGGAGCCGCGTGGCTACGCTGCAGGCCATCGGCTGTGCAGTGTGGCCTGGGCGCGCGCGGCCTCGTCGGGGCGACGCCCTGGCGGGCCGGCGCGCCCTCCTGCGCGCCGCGAGCGCTGGTCGCCTGGGGCGTCGCTTTCGCCGGCGCGCCCGGAATCGCAATCGGAGCGCGATAACAAAGCACCAAGATGGTTCTCTCCGAGGTGATCACGCCCGAGCAGTACTGGGCGCACGAGATGCAATTGGCGCGCTTGTGTGAGGAGCGCGGCGGCACGAGGGTTGCGTTCTACTACGACCTGCTTCTCCGCCAGAAGCTGGCCCGTGCCCTCGAGCAGGGCCAGGGCGACCAGGTCGAGGTCCTGCTGCGCAGGCTGGATCGTGACGTGCTGGAAGACGCCTCGCACAAGGTCAAGCAGCGCGCCGAGGAGGTCAACCGGGCCAACTCGAAGCAGACGAGCGGCCCGGCGTCATGGCAGGGGAACGCGCCTTCGCAAGGAGGCAAGCCGGGGGCGCAGGCCAAGGGGGGCCAGAAGGGTGGCAAGCCAGACAAAGGCGGAAAGCAGAGCAAGCCCCCCAGGCCGGCCCCGACCACGCCCCAGCGCTCCAGGAGCCCGCCCAAAGGCAAGGGCGCAGCTTCTGCGCAGTGGCACACCAAAGGGCAGGAGAAGAAGTGGTCCAGCTGGTGAAGTGAACCGGCGTCTGCCTCCAACGAGGCGCCTTCGGAAGAGGGACACCCCCTCGGCGATGCCTCGGGCGTGTTTAGCACCGGCGAAGGCTTCTCTGCTCTCTGTGGCGCTGTAGAGCACTTTTTAAGTGATCCTGTTAGATTAGCGGGCATGGACCCGTTTGCTCTTTTAAACTGGGCGCTGCACCTGCCGCTGTGCACCGGGGAGTTTTCCATCCCTGAGGCGTCTAGAAATGCAATTAATTGGCATTCAGCCGACCCTAGCGCACTGTGCGAGTTCAGGTGGCGCCAGTTGAAATACTGGAAACACCGCCAACAAGTGACGGCGCTAGCGTGGCGCGACCAGTACGCGCGCTTGCCGGCGCACGTCCGTGCCATATTGGGGCCTGAGAAGAACTTGGCGTTGTCTTCCGAGATGCTGGAGGCCTCGGGCTCTCCAGACACTCACCTCGCAGCATCGCTCGCGCAGGGTTTCCCTCTAGCGGGGTACATCCCCCCGAGCGGCACCATGTGCTTGAGCGACGCCGTTAGCCACGCATCGCCAGAGGAGCTGTTGGAGGCAGCGCCAGGCGCCAACGCTAGCATGCTGCAGAGAGTCCGAAACGCACCCGCAACGGACGGTCGCGTTGCAGAAGGCCTCGAGGCCCGCATCCGGGCGGAGGTGGCGGCTGGACAGGCCGAGTGGCGCGATCTGCCGTCCGATCTCTCGGGCGCGGTGTTGTCCCCTCGGTTCGCTGTGGACGAGGGCTGGCGCTTTCGCGATAGACAGTGGTCTCTCAAGGTCCGCGCCATCGATGACCTCACAGCTTCCGGGGTCAATGGCGCGACCACGGTCTCCGAACGCGTCGCCCACGAAACTCTCGATGATTTAGTGGCGGCGGCGCAGTGCTTCATCGCTGGTGGAGCCAGCGCAGCGGACGTCTGCTTCCGCAAGGATGACGTCTGCGAGGCCTACAAAACTCTCCCGCTGCATAGTGAGCACCTCCCGTTTGCGGCCGCCGTGACGGCGGAGTCCGTATCGCAGGATCAGTTCCTGCAGCTGTTCTGCTGTCCCTTTGGGGGGAAGGCGAGTGTCCATGCCTGGCAGCGCGTGGGCGCGGCTTTTCCAGCTATACTTTTGCGTTTGTTTAGCATCGTGTATCCACGTTTCGTGGACGATGTTTTCGGCATTGATGCAGAGCAAACGCGCGAGTGGGGTGATAGCGCGGTAGGCGCCGCCTCTTTAGCTAGATTCGTCATCCAGGATTTGCTGGGCTGGCGTCTTGA